GCGTGGGGTTCCGGCTATTTGGGGGCGGGGGGTGCCGGGCTGTGATGCGCTCACAGCGGGGAACTTCTGGCTCCTGCGTGTGGTAGGAAATGGTGCCGCTTTCTGGGGGTCAAACCGGGCTGAGAGGAAGCGAGCGGAGGACGGCGGTGCCGGGAAGGGCGTCTGGGCGTCCAGACGTGTGGGGTCCGGGGACGGCTGCGGCAGGTAGCCAGGACACAGCGGCCAGGGAGCAGCCAGGCTGCGCACGCGGCCACGGCCGGACAGGCCGGCACCCCCGGCGCTCAGAGGCCGGGCGAGAGGGAGGGGGGCCGGGGCGGCCGCGGCTCTCACGGCTGCTGGCCCTGCCCCGTCCTTCTTGTACAGCGGTCAGTGCAGGTGGACGCGCTTGGCGTCGGGGTACTGACGGTCACAAGTGTGAGGCCCATGACTTTTACAACTAAAATCTATCTTCCCCTATACGTTACACCAGACTCTCCCAAATTTCCGTTTATAATATTTTCTTACAGTCCATATTTATTCTTTACGGTGACATAACGATTCTCTTTGTGAAGCTGACTCGGTGCCACTTCCTGCTAATTCCAAACAAAGGGACTGTCACGATCAAAACAAAACAGTTGTAAGACTTTCCTTCAGAAACACAAGTCATCTTGACAGTTTTCTGCCTGCGTGACACTGGAATAACGAATACTTCACTCTGTGAGGCAAAGACCAGCAAACCACGGCCTCGACCAATGCGGCCCACGGTCTGATTCGTAAATGCGATAGAGACAAACAGCTCACAGACCCTGAGCCGCCGGGCAGCGGGCTGAGCCCGCCGGGGAACACAGCGCCGGCAGCAGGTGTCACCAACACAGCCAGCTCGTAGGCGTCTCCTGCCCAAATAGCTCATCCTCGTGCGCTCAAGCATCTGACTGCGATCTTTGCGCCATTTATGTTTATTATAACGTTATTAAATACGTTGACCACATGTATGCAAGAAGTTGCTGTAAAGACTCACGAGCACATAAAACCGACACCTAGTCAGGAAAGCGTAACAGATGCCACTTGCGAAGACATAAATATCCAGAATATTTTTCCTCATTAAAGAACCTCACAGTAGAAGTCACACAGCAGGAGACACTCAGCCCTCCACGCAGGCCGGCAAATGGAAGTGTGTCGGCCCTCCGGGGGTCTGAATTAGTGCGAAAGAGACGCTGACACACGGGCGCAGCATCCCGAGGCAGGTTCCCTCACGCGGCCCTTGCCGTGTCTTCTTGTAACATAAAAGACGCCACACGGACAAAGGTGCGGTATGTGCTCGCTTAAAATACGTAAAACATTCCTGACAGTCCGACATCCCTAGGTCTCCCGTTCTTAGCCTCAGCTCGTTCCCTTCTTCCTCGAGATGACCCAGCGTCCGCAGCGCCCCATGCCTACCCCTGTTGGGACAGGCTCTCGAGACATAAGAGTAAAGACCTGGCTGACCTTCGGCTGTCAGGTTTTCCATCGAATCACCTTCACTGCCGACCAGACTTAGAGAATGAGAACCAACTGAAGTCGTGACTTGATCAAAGCTGTTCCTTTACTGTCTAAGTTCATGAAAGTGTTTTCAGTGGCGGAATTTGTGTTAAAGTTAATTTATTCATGAAAGGCACGCTGAGCCCCCGGGCGAGCGGGGTGAAGCCCAGCGGCAAGAAGCCGCTTCAGCTGAGTTAGTCCCCGCGCGCCCCCAGGTGACCCCAGGGCGCCACAGACCTCTGCTGGCCCCGCTGCCCCCGCAGCAGTGGACTCTGTTGATCGCCTGTTCTGCTCCCCGCTCTGTCTGGCGAAGCCTCCTCACCCCTTGCACCTCTGGCCTGTACCCCGGTTCTGTGCGCATTAAAAAAAATCTTAAAAAAAAAAGGCACAATGAAGAGTTTAATAGAAAAGAGGGTGAAGCCGCGCGGGAAGGCAGAGGCCCGTCACGGGAACCAGCTCCGCGTGACCCCTCCCCTGGCCGGTGTTGGCGGCCCCGGGCGAG